GTCTCTCTATCTCTCTCTCCTCGCGCACCCCTAACCTTCTCCCACCTCTGGCCGTGCTCTCTACCCTTTTGCCCACGCGCTGCCCCGAGCGCTGCCCCCCCTCCGCTGTTCGCCTCATGTCGGTGACGCTCTCTGCCGCCGCCACGGTCCGCGGCGCGCCCGCGCCAACTTGTTGATGACGTTTGGAAGCCTGCTCAGCGCTTCCTGGAAGCTGCTCGCCCTCCAATGGGCCAGCGGACGGTGCCGCTCTCCGGCACTGACGGGCTGCTCGCCTCACCGGTGTCTCCAGGTGCGTACCTCTCCCTCCCCAGGGCACCGCGAGGACGCAGTGAGGACGCAGGTCGGGACACGGTGATCAGGCGACATTGTGGACACCCTGATTACATTCTTAGAACAAAGTGTGGACATCGTGCGCACGCCCAGAAGCGAAGGCAGCTTCCCGGGAAGTAAATTGCCCCACGCACCGCTATGAACAAGCAGTCGTTAAAATCGTCGTTGAAGTTGAAGTGAACCGCTTAATGTTCACCCTGCCCGTGTGGCTGCCCGTTGGACCCGTACGGTGCGCTGCAAGGAGCTGCGGGCGTGAAGCGAGCCGAGCAGGTCACCCATAGGCCCGGAGGCCGGTTCGGGGAGCTGCTCTGGTTCTGATCTTGATCTGGGTCGAGTACCATGAGAGAGGGCGGGGGGCGGGCTGGGCCAGGCCAGCGCCGAGTCACAGTCGCCTAGCGCCTGGGAGGCTGGCCGCCGCCGCCGCATCGCGCAGCGCCGTGCGGCGGAGCTGCCTAACCTCCGGGCGGTCCGGGCGCTCTATCGCATCGCAGACAATGACGACGATGGCAGAGACGCTTGGAACGATTCGGAATAAAAAGCGGGTGCCTTTAGCAATTTTTGTTTGTTATCTTTATTAACTCCTTTTCACTAAGACCGTTTAAGTGATGAATAAAGGAGAAGAGAGGGGGAATAAAGCTGCGTTTGTCACGTTTCACTCTGTCGCCTCCGAGAGATCGCTCTCTAACCCATAAAAGAGCGTTTGATAGAAACGATCCAAAAGTTCTGATAACGGTGGTGCACTGCGGCAACATTTTTGCAAAGCAACACAAAATTTACTCCAACAGCCAACCATTTCACTGTTGCTGTACGCAGTAGCAAAACTCTTTCGTTTTTGGCGGGCTGCGCTGCTGCGCCCCCACGCAGCGGTGCCTCCCCCGCGTAGGGGCGCCCACGCAGAAGCGGCTGACGCCCCCCCCTCCCCTCCCCTTTCCGCTCTCTGTGCAGCGCAGCGACAAGCGGTACACAATTTAAGGTCAAGTATCGCGACCCGCACGTCTGTGTGCGTGTGTGTGTGCGCGCCGAAACACCCCCGCTATATGTGCCATGTACATATTTGACACGCGCGTGGGGTTTTGTGGGCGTGTCGTCGATAGTTTACTAAAACTCTGGGAGCAGCAGAAGGGAGTTAACCCGCGCGAGCAGCCAGCGAGGCGATCACTTCATCGCTCCTCTCTACGGGAGTGGGACGGCCCCCGCTGCTCCGCCTCCCCGCCGCCCGTGCCATCGAGGCCGCGAGCAAATTAGCAATCGAGCCCTCTGCCCGCCCCGCCCCGCCCCGCCGCACTGCGTCCACCTGCTGTGCTGCTCTGCGGTGCTCCGCCACAGCTGCCGCCGCCTGCCGCCGTAGCTCCAAGCAGCGCTGCGGGACTTCTCGGCATCCCGAGCGCGCGCGTGTCGCGTCGCTCGTTGGAAACTTTGCCGCGGAATATGACGGGGGCGGGCGGCGGTGCCGCGTATTTAACGCGGGGGCGGTGCGGTGCGGGGAGGAAGGACTTTGTTAGTTTGTAAGAGGCTCCCGCCGGTACTGCGCAATTTCACGCCCAATTACTTGATCCTCCCGCGCGCGCCACGCTCCCCCCGCCCCGCGCCTCGCGCCCCAAGACTTCCTCTTCCTCCTTATTTCTTCGCCTTCCTGCTTCCGCAGCCGGGGCCTCCCTCCACCCCATTATCGGTGATACAGGGGGCGGGCCGGGGGCGGCGCGGCCGGGGGCGGCGCGGGGCCGCCCGTGAATGGGCCGTGTGC